GTGTGTGTGTGTGTGTGTGTGTGTGTGTGTGTGTGTGTGTGTGTGTGGTGTGTGTGTGATGGCATTCAGGGACTCCTGAGTGTGCAAATGAGTGGCCTCTGATTCTTGTGCCTTCTCTGGGACCCTTTTCGTTCTGTTTGTCAGGTCCAACTCTGATGTGATAGTTTCTGTCTTCCTCTATTTTGTTATATTTAATATTATCCCTTAGAAGCCTATCCATTTCTAATTAGAGACAGAAAGGGAGTGGATTTGGATGGAAGGGGAGGAACTGGGAGGAGGAGAGGGAAGGGAATCCGTAACCAGGGTATTTTGTATGGAAAAAGAAAATATAAAGAAAAAAATTATGATCTTCCTTTGTGGACCACTTTGATTCTTTCTTATTTAATGTATTTTTAAGTTTATAGTGGTTACCTTGAGAATTACAAGCAGACTCTTTAAAAAAATGATTTTTAAATATTTTATTGTGTTTGTGTACCAGTGCCCAGGAAGGAGTTTTTAGCGACTATAACTAGTTTGTTTGTTTTGCTTTTTGGATCTTTTTACTTTTCGATAAAATACCCTGGCAAGAGCAGCTTGAGGGGGTAGAGGTTCCGTCCAGCTGCCGCTCCAGGTTGCAGTCGTCAAGGCAGGCGCACAGTGGGTTTCCGGAGTCTGACCACACGCATTTCCTCACCCGGAGTCCAGAAGCAGAGAGCGATGGCCGCAGCAGGCGCCCAGCTCCCTTTCTCCACCCTTTTCCTGATCACCATTAGCCGGGTCTTCCTGCATTGGTTAACTCAGGCAGGATAACACCTCCCACACAGGTGTACATGAAGCGAGGGCTTAGTCTCCCACATGTTTCTAGATTTTTTTTCCAATTAACAATTAATATTAATCATTAAAAAAGTGAGGATTCGGCCCACATAGAAAGCAGCCAGGAAGGTCAGAATGTCTGTGAGAGCCACAGAAGAACATCTTATCCCGACCGAGAAGGACAGCATGACTATTGTAAGCACCTACAGCTAACAACGGTCTGCAGATGTGTCCACACACAGTGGTACGTAGCTGGAGAGAGAAGAAGGCAGTTTCTCTGGAATAGAGACTTTCCCATCCCAATTCTAGCAGCAGGTGGATGCTACTGATTGCTAAATTCCATAGTCTGATTGTGGTGCCGAATAAATGCCAGGGAGGGAGAAGGAGAGGAAAGAGACGAGCCAAGGTAAATGAGAAAGTAGAGGAACTGACTAAGGAGTATGACTGGGGGAGCCAGCACACACACAGAAACTCCCGCTCCTGAGCGCATGCAGAGGACTGGGTAACGCAGTAACTTTTAAATGGTGGAAGGAGTGGACTATGGAGCTGAGGTGCAGCGCTAAATAACCCGTCTCTTGTTCCTTTGGTGCCCAAAGAATCTGGGTTATTCTGACAGCAGAGGAAAGAAGCTTACTGCATTCAGTGAAAGGACACACTGTATCCAGTGAAGAGCCAGAGACCCCAGAGCTTTTCTCTTTAGAGAGTTTTTTATTGTTATCCTTTACAGCCTTTCCAGGATATAAACAAATTTATGCCTTGTTCTTTTTCTTATAGTTAAAATTATCTTTAAAATATTGGAAACAGTTGAGAGTGTTGTTACTGTAGTTGTCTGTAGCTCCTGTATGACTGTGATTCAGCTTCGGTGTGTGTGCTTGCTTCCGGTTTCATATTTATATAGTGTGCTGAAGCAGCAGAATGAGGAGTAGTAGTTAATGAAAATTCTAAACCCAGATGCTCTCCTAGCTTTCTAAAGCCTGTCAAAGCTGATCCTTACTCTTTCTTAGTTCCTCAATTCAAAATACAGATAAAGAACCGTTTGTGACAGTTAGTGAATTTAAAAAATACATGTATGTGGGGCTGAAGAAATGCCTCAGCAATTAAGAGCACTGGCTACCCTTCAAGAGGACCTGGGTTCAATTCCCAGCACCCACATGATGGCTCACGACTGTCCTTAAGTGCAGTCCCAAGAAAGCCAGTGCTCTTCTGACCTCTTCAGTACTGTGCACACCAGGTGCACATGCATCCGTGCAGACAAAGTGCCCACACACAC